TCATAGAAAAAAAATACCTTTAAAAAGCAAATATAAGATAAAATAAATGCAAAGGGTGGGACATTAACAACTGGGGAATTAGGAAAGCCCTCTTGAAGGATGTGGGTGATTGAGCTGAGTCTTGCTGGGAGCTGAGAGTTCTAAGAAGGAAGAGCATTCCAGTCCTGGGAGGAGGCATGAATACAATTTGTGATGACGTTAAGCTCTGTGACCACAACACACCCGGTGACATTTTTTTTTTCTTGCTAGGCAAAGCGACTTGCCCAGAGTCACACAGCTAGTAAGTGTTATGTCTCTGAGGCCAGAATTGAACTCAGGTCCTCCTGAATTCAGGGCTGGTGCGCTATCCACTGCACCACCTAGCTGCCCCTGTCCACTGACATCTTAAAGAACATCTGACTATCCTATTGGATAGAAATCCCTGTTTATATTTGGATACAAGATCAGAATCATGTTCCCTTACATTTCCCTAAGGTATTCCTCTACGTTTCTAGCAGCTGCCTGGGGTTAGGACTGCCTCCCTCCTTTGCCACAGTAAGAGCTAAGAGCATTTCTGTAAATTTGAAGTCTGCAATTAAATAAGCCTACTAACTTTCCCATGCTGCTGGGTCAATTTAGTATTCACCTTGGGCATCCCTTATCCAGCTCATTGCCCCTGCTTCTACTGACCTACTCTCAAAATTCTTGGGGACTTCCCTTTTTCATATATGATTTCAGTCTGATTATATCACTTGTCATGGGCCCATCCCTAACTGAGCCCTCATTCCCAAGCCAGCCTCCAACATGTTGTGTAAAGAGTACTAGATTTGGAGTCCCAGGACCTGGGTTTCAATCTCCATTTGCTTCTTACTATTTCAAATTCAGTATGCTGGGGACAAAGGAAGCTTCTGATTTCAAGGGACAGTTTCAATCAATACACATTTATTAAGCGCCTACTGTGTGCTACATTGTGCCTCAGGAACCTCATCATCCTGCAAGACCGATCAGCCTTGGTATTCATGTTTCATCAGTACCCTCTATTCCTCTGGCTGAAAGGCAGAGCCATAACCTCCAAAACTTCCATTTAAGGAGAGGGCCCAGGACAATCATCTCATCGTTTCCCACTGGCTGCACTGATTTGGACTTCCTCCTCATGCTCATAGCTGGGTACCTTCCCCTCCCACCCTCTTGACTTTTCAGCTTCCTTTTTCGTGCTGTCCTTTCCCATTAGATTATAAACTCCTTAAGGGCAGGAGCTGCCTTTTTAAAAAAAATTTGTACTTCATCCCTGGAGCTTATCACAGTGCCTGGCACATAGTAGGTGCTTAATAAATGTTTATTAACTGATGACTGTGCTAAATGCTGGCACTACAAAGTAAGATTAGTCATGCTATCAAGGAGTTATTAGAGGATCTATGCTCACAGATAAGTAAATACAGGACATACCATAAAGTAATTTGGTGGAGAACACTAACAGTGAGAGAATGAGGAAGCATCTCTTGAAGGATGTAGCACAGACTATGAAGAAAGTGAGGGCTTCCAAAGGAAGAGGTAAGGAAGGTGAATATTTCAGGTATGGATACAGCTTAGGGAAAGGCATGGACATGACCGACCAGTTTGGCTGAAACGTAGAGTGAAGAAAGGGAAGTAATTTGTAATCAACCTAGAAAGATGGTCTGGAGATAGATTGTGTAGGGCTTTAAATGCCAAACAGAGGAGTTCGTATTTTATCCTAGAAGGAGTAAGTCACAAAAATTCCCTGAGCAGGAAAGTTACATGGTTAGTCTTGAACTTTAGGAAGATCACTTTGGTAGCTTTGTGGAGGAGAGACTGGCAGGGGGAAAGGATAGATGCAGGCAGACCAAATAAGAGGCTATCATAATTGTCTGGGTGATGAAGATTTCCTGTACAAGGATAATGGTGGTGAGAGGTGACTGTGAGAGACATGCTGAGGAGGCAGAATTGAATGAATATTTACTGAGCTCCTTTGTTGTTCAGTCATTTTCAGTCATGTCCAACTCTTCATGACTCCATTTGGAGTTTTCTTGGCAAAGATACTAGAGTGATTTGCCATCTCCTTTTCCAGTTCATTTTACAGATGAGGAAACTCAGGCAAATAGGGTTAAATGACTTGACCAGGGTCGCACAGCTAGGAAGTGTCTGAGGCCAGATTTGAATCCGGGTTTTCCTGACTCCAGGCCAGCTCTCTCTCCACTGAGCCAACTAGCTGCCCAAACACTGGATATGAACAGGAAAAGCAACAGCCCTTGTTCTCAAGGAGCCCACACTAATTAGGGGAAGCAACACATAAAAGAAAGTTCAGCTGCAGGGCAGATGGAAGAGTCTGGGAGTCCTAAAGGTGTAGTAGTGGAGCTTTGGGCAAGGCCCCGAGGTCCTTCAGATGCCTAAGTAGGTCCTATAACAGTATGGAGCTCTGCGGTAAGTAGAGGCAGGCCAGGGGGTCAGGAAGGGAGGTCCTATAACGAGCTAATGCAGTTGTTCTGACATTGTTTTCAATGTACTCAAGTTTGGTTGTAGAGGGTCTGCTAGTGAGCCACCTTGCCATCTGCTAACAGGTTTCATTTTGAATTTTATTCTTCCAGAGTCCGGGTTTGGATGACTCTGATGGGGGACCCAGATCAAACATCACACATTTGTGTTTAAAAGTGATTGGCAGGGCAGCTAGGTGGCGCAGTGGATAGAACTCTGGCCTTGGAGTCAGGAGGACCTGAATTCAGATTTGACCTCAGACACTTGACACTTACTAGCTGTGACTCTGGGCAAGTCACTTAACCCCACTGCCTCACCAAAAAAGCAAAACAAAACAAAAGTGGATAGCAAAACAATCAGCCACAACTTTCTGCAGGGAAGTGGCGCAAACATCCATAACTAACTCTAACTCTCTCTCCCCACATCCATACATATATATATATATATATGTATATATACATATATATATATATATGTATATATACATATATGAAATGTGTATATGAATATATATATGTATATGTGCATGTAAGCCTCACCAATCACTTTGCTTTCCCCCTTACTGGAAACCTAGAAGGGCATTGATTCCATGAATTTAGGAATACTTCCTACACAGACCCATGTGGACATTCATGACATTATCTGTTATATTCTGCTGAGTCCAGGCATATCATGGTAGGGTTTCAAGCTGGAAAGGGTGTTAAAGATAATTTAGTTCAGCTCCATCATTTTGCTTACAAGGAAACTGAAGTCCAGAGTGGTGATACCCACTCCATGAAGTGGGTTTTTTTAAATTAATTTATTTTGATTTATCAACAATCACTTCCATATGCTTTTGAGTTTAAGATTTTTCTCCTCCTTCCTCCCCACCACCCTCCCCAAGATGGCACACAATCTGATATAGGCTACATATATATACATTCTTATTAAACATATTTTCAGATTAGTGATGTAAGTAAAAATTAGAACCAATAGGAAGAACCACCAGAAAGAGGAAACAAAACACAACAGAAGAAAAAAAAATAGTGAATAGTATGCTTCCATCTGCATTCAAACTCCATAGTTCTTTCTTTGGATGTGGATAGCATTGTCTTTCATCAAGAGGCCTTTGGAGATGTCTTAGATCCTTGTATTGCTGGGAAGGGTTAAGTTTATCAAGATTAGTCATGGCACAAAGTGGCTATTATTGCCCATGAAGTTTTTCAAGATAAATCTAAGGTAGAGTTTAATGATCCACTAATATCTATATCCCCCACAGGCTGGTCCCTTGTAGTCCTTTTTTTAAATTAAATTTTATTCTTAAATGTATTTGTGACAACATAAACAAGTTTGCTCTTCTAGTCCCCGCCTCTCTGCAAAAAGGCTCTTCTCCCTCTGCTTCTCTCCCCTCTCCCTCTTTTTCCTCTTTTCCTTCTGATTAAATTGCCCATAATATAGAACTAAAGTATTTCTTTCAAATACTTACTGTGCTCCTCGGGTAAAAATTTTATGCTTCCTTTTCTCGACTTTTAAAAACAGGCGATGTCAACTAGAATCGGAGAATGTCACAGCTAGACGAGGTCCCAGAATACAGAATTGGAAAGAATTTATAGAACTAGCCCAGTTCCACGCATTCATTTTGTAAAGGAGCAAAGTGAGGTGCCTAGAGGGGCAGTGACCATGTCCAGGGTTTCACAGTGAGTTAAGGCCAGATAAATGTTTGCAGAATGGATGAATGAGGGAGATGTGGAATCTACAGGTCTCTGTGTCCTATCAGGCGTGATAGAACCAATGGAAGCGTCATCATTATGCAAGTAAATGTATATGCCCTGACTCCTTTCTTGCCATCTTCATGGCCTTTAAAGCCCGTGGCTGCGCTCACACGGTGGTAAGGTGAGGCAGAGAACGTGGGTTCGCATCCTGCCTCTCACGCTTCCTACCTTGGGTAAGTCCTTTAGCCGGCCTTGGCCTCAGTCTCCTCAGTTGTAAGATGAAGAGTTTGGCTTAGGTGTTTCCTGAAATTCCTACAAGCTCCAACAACTTCATGCAATTGCTGAGTCAGTGAGAGTGCACCGGATTTGGTTCCAGGAAACCTGGGTTCTAGTCTGCACTCTACCACCGACTTGCTCAAAAAGTCAATTAACCTCCCTTAGCAGAAGAGGTAATAATAATGCCATCAGATTACTGTGAGGATCCAAAGAGATAACGTATGTAAGGCGCTTTGCAAAGAAGAAAAGCCCTACAGAAGTGTCAGCTAATCACCCACAAGCCCTCTTTGGGAGATCTTTCTTCTCCCAACAGAACTGCACCCGACCAAGCCTGCTTTTCCTCAATCATTATTACCAAGCACCTCAATAACTCACTTCCCAGAAGTGGATCTCGGGCGTTCATTTCCGCTCTACTTTGAATTTTGAGCTTGCCGCGCCCTCCCGTAGGCTTCTTTCTTTTTTTGTTTCTCAGCGACCTGGTAAGAGAGCTGCGTCGGTTCGCCGCGCTGATGTCAGAAGTGACGTCATGGCGCGCCGAGTCCGCGGGGCGGGGAAGGGAACCCGTTCGGGGAGGGGGGCAAGGGAAGAGGGAGGGGCGGACGGAGAAGAAGGGGCGGACTCCGAGCGGCAGCGACGCAAGATGGCGGCGACCACGGGCTCGGGTGAGCGGGGGCGCCGGGGCCCGGGGGGCCAGCGGCTGGGGATGCGGGGATCGGCCTTCACGGGCTCTGTGCCGCGGGGAACCGCGGCGTGGGAGAGGCCGGGGCTGGGCTCCGGGGGCCAAGCGGCCGAGGGGCCGGAGGCTGAGGCGGCGCCCGGGCGCCGGGGCCTCGGTTTTGGCTCCTCGGGCCCCTCAGCCTGGCGGGGTCCTGGGGGCCGCCGACGCTCTGGGCCGGCCGAGCCGGAGACTGCCCCCGGACCCTGGGCGCGGTGGGTGTGTCGGCTCCAGCTGTGGCAGCCGCACGGGAGGCAGGGGCCGGAAGCGAGGGGCTGGGGCGCGGAGAGGCCGCGGGGACCGGGAGGGGGTGGGGTGGGAGGATGGAAGAGGGACCCGGGGGAGGGGCGCGGCGTGGGGCTGGGGTCGGTGTGATGGCAGGGACCGTCCTGGGCTGTGCTGGGGGAGAGAATGTGGAGGGGGGGCGGAGACCCTGCAGGGGTCGGTGTGTTGGGGGGGAATGGTATTGGGGTCCAGATGTTTGGGGGAGGAGCCGTGCAGAGGTCTATGTTTTGGGGGGTATCTTGCAGGGTTCTGTCCGGTTTGGGGGGGGGAATTTTTCGTGGTTTGGGGGGCAACCTTGCAGAAATTTGCTTGGGGGGCCTGTTCAGAGGTTTGTTTAGGGGAATGCTTGCAGAGGTTTGGGTGGGGGTGACCTTGCGGGGGTCTGTGTTAAGAGGCGAACCTTGTTGCAGGTGTGTGTGTGTGTGTGTGTGTGTGTGTGTGTGTGTGTGTGTGTGTGTGTGTGTGTTGGGGGGGCATGCAGAGGTCTCTGTGTTTGGGGAGGGGAAACTGCATTGGGTTTGTGTGTTGGGGAGGAATCTTTTTTTTTTTTTGCTTTTCTGGTGAGGCAATTGGGAGAGTTAAGTGACTTGTCCAGGGTCACACAAGTAGTAAGTGTCCAGTGTCTGAGGCTAAATTTGAACTCAGGTCCTCCTGACTCCAAGACCGGAGCTCTATCCACTGTGCCACCTAGCTGCCCCCTGGCAGGGAGGAATCTTGGAGGGGATAAGGGGTCTGTGTGTTGGCAAGGGGAGGAACTAGGGAAGGATCTGTTAGGGATGGAAAGAATGATGAAAAGATAGGCTATGGGAGGATTGGTTTCTGAGAAATGGAATGGGAACAAGTTAGCCCTTCCACTAGAAGACTTCTGGGAATTTGATATTAGGACCAGATTTAGAAGAGATGGGGTTGCTGGAAATTGCTGAGGAAGGAAGGAATTCAATTCAAAAGATGTTTATTAAGCACTGACTGCAAGGCACCATACTAGTGCCTTTGTAACTGATGATACAAAGATTGAAAGCTCCTCAAGGGACTTAATATGGGGAGGGGGGAAGGATACATGTATATAAAAACAAAGTAATTTAAGGAGCAAAAGACATTGACTCCACAGGTAATCAGGAAAGACTTCCACAGGTAGTACCTGACTTGAACCTTGAAGAAAAATAGGGATTCCAGAAGGTGAGATGGAAGGTGGAAGTGAGGAAGCTAGAGACGTCAGTGTTCTGGTTTCTATATAACTGAGACACTGTCCTTTCCTCTCCAAGCATTTGTGCCCCTAAAACATGTTTCTGTTATCATCCATGCTGCTATGAATGGGGAGGAATTGATAATAGATCACATTTCCATAGTTTACATTATAGTTTACAAAGCACTTTCCTGTTAAGGCCCTTGTGAGGCAAGTGATAACAGCTGAGATTTGTAAAGTACTTTGCTTCAATCATTTAATTAATCATTTGATTTTCACAACTGCCAGATAAGGTAGGTAGAGTAGATATCATCCTCATTTAGAAATGAGAAAAATAAACCTTAGAAATGTGAAATGTCTTGCCTCGGAAACATCATTAGTAAACCTGGCACTTGAACCTTACTCCTCCTCCTCCAATGACTGTCCACATTAGACATAACTGAACTATCAGAGCTGCAGTTGATTGATTTGATGTTCATTGCAGTAGAATTTGATTTCTGAAAGTGCATTTTATCTTAGAGATAGAACGAAGAGATAGAAGCTGGTTGCAGCTTTAATAATGATATATTAATGTACAAAGCTCCTGCAACAGGCACTCCTAGGAGAGAAAGGCAGAGTCAGGCCAAACTGCTGTGGGAAACTTCCAACTAGAATAACATCTCTGCCAGGTTGCCATGAATTGTAGTGTATTATTGTGAACACAGTAGCTATTGGTGTCTTAGTATTACAAGTCTGCCCTGTTGATGGTTTCTTATATTTTGTCCTCACAGATTTAACAACCACTTAACTTTAATTTTTTGAGGTGCTGCCAATCAAAGGTCCTTTAATAAATAATGATGCACTAAGATGAAACACTTTCTGTGACTGTGTTAGATAATGTAGAATAGTCTTAGAGAATACTGAGGAAACCCTACTCAGAGCATCTTTGCCTGTCTGTAACTTGAAAGTTGTTAAAAGCTGGTTTTGATTAATTGTATTCATAATAGCATAAATATCAATCTGTTTCCACTGTTTTAACAATGGAAAGCAATTCAGGCAGTATGGAGTTTGCACCCCCTGGGGTTGTTTAGCTATACATGTAAACATCATTAATGTAAAGTCCGTACTTAAAAACCTGCCCTCTCCACCTCTCCTGGGAAAAAGTAGGCTTCTTATGTTAACTCCTCTAGTGACTGAATATTTCTTTTTGTGGTCACCAGTTCTGGCTTTGGCTACCACTTTCCTAATCTCCTTCAATTCTTAAATGCATGATTTCAGGAGAGAGTAGGCATTGGACTTCTGAAGTGAATGTTAGATCCCTTCAGGAAGGCATCAGCAACTTGGCTCCTTTCGGGCTATGCTGTGTGGTGATGTTAGTAATAGTTCAATAGGAATCATATTGGTACAGTGTAATGGGCACTGGACTTGGAATCAGAAATCCTAGCTAGATTTAGATTCAAGCTCTACCATTTGATAGCTATATGACCTTAGACAAGGCAGTTAACTTCTTAGGACCTCATTTTCCTCATCTGTAATATGAAGGAGTTATGCTAGATAACGTCTAGGATTCCAGTTCTGACATTGTGTGGTTGTAAAGCTCTTTAGCTGTACAAGCTACTTGCTTCCAAACAGGGCTGTTGCCTTACACATAGGCACTTAACAAATGTTTGTAGAATTGGGCAGTTCTGTGAGGTAGATAGTGTGCAAGTATGGTTGCTTCCAATGAGATTTAAGGCTGGAAGGATGTTTAGAAACATTAAGTCCAGACTGCTCTCCCAGCCCTCCAGAGAGATGGTGAAACAGCTTGCAAGTACATATTGGAGCTAAGTGGTATCTGCATAGGTGTGGAGTAGGAAAGCACTACTAGGAGATTTTTAATTGTAGTGTGTATAGTGTCACAGTGACCATACCTGTTGATATCTATTTGAAATTTGCTTGCCATTAGTATAAGATCTAGCCTGCCCAGATCTCTGAGGATTTAAGTCGTTTTAAAATGATTGATTAATTAAACTATGAGCTACTAGATAAGTAATAATTTTTTAATATCTAAAACTGAAGAATAATGCTTTATCAGATTTTATCAACTCTTGATCATCTTCTGTAACAGCAAAGGAGTTTTCAAAGCACTTTCACAGCCGTTTTCATTTTTCCCTTTACTGTAACCCCTTGAAGTAGATTGGGGGAGAGGTGCCATCTGTCTTCTTTACAGATGAGAAAACTGACACTCATATAAGTGAAATGACTTGTCCACAGATTTTCTGATGCTTTTTCAGGGTCTTTTCCACTGAATCCTGTGCTGCCTTTGGAAGGAAAAAGCACAGATTATAGTTATCAAGGAATGCCACTGATTTTAGGCTTAGTGTCCTTTAGGTTAAATGCAGGTAGCATACCAGCTTACTCTCCTTCCTTGGGAACTGGAGGTTACTCACTAATGGGGACATAGTAATACCTTCAGGAGATCAGAAGAGTTATATTTAGGACTCGTATGCTAAGAGCCAGAGTCCCTGTAATAAAATTAATTGACATTTTTGTGAATCTGTAATATTTGATAGGAAATAAAGTAAAAATGGCCAGCCTTTGGAAAATAGAATCTTTTTGTAACTGAAGTATTTAATGAGTAGCTTGGTGCCTTAATTTTCTTACCTGTATTAATAATTCAGATTTCCATAGAATCTTAATGTTTATGAAGTATTTTGCTCATGTAGCCCTGTTTGAGGTAAATGCTAGTGTTAAGTTGAACACTCCCACGGGTTTGACCTCATCAATAACAGTTACCTAGAGCTTGCAAGGTGTGCAAAGCACTTTACAAATACTCATTTGATTCTCATTTACAACTCTAGGAGATAGGTGCTATTACTAATCCTGTTTTACAGATCAGGAAACAGAGGGAGATAGAGGTTAAATGACTTGCCTAGGGCCACACGTGTCACACGTCTGAGGCTGGATTTTAATTTACATCTTCCTGACAAGTACAATACACTGGCCATAGCGCCCCCTAGCTGCCTCTAATGAATGTTTGAGTAGAGCCCTATATCGGCTTCGCCATCTGCTGACTGATGTTATAAGAGCACTAGATTTGGAAGGAGGGCATCTGGTTTTGAATCCAAGTTTCACGATTTGCATTCTTTCTGACCTTGTACAGACCTTAACCTCTCAGGGTATCAATTTCCTCATCCATAAAATGTAATATTGTATGTAATTTGTAAGTCTCCGTCCAGGTCTAAGTTCTGTGACTCTGGGTATGCTTGGTATATTATAAAAGAATCAAATTGCCCTCTGCTGTCTCGTTTATCTTGGTAACCCCTTCCTCAGAAAAACCTTTGGTTTGTTTTGTTTTCGTTTTTTAATTTGCTCCATACATAATAGCACAGAATCTCAGAAGCTTTATTTTGCTGAATTTTAAGTCTTACCCTGCAAAAAATCTGTCTGATACATTGCTTTCTCATGTATGAGAAAGTAGTTACAAGAAATGATGACACTTGAATGATGCTAAGAGGATA